GAGAGAGAGAGAGAGAGAGAGAGAGAGAGAGAGACGACTTGAATGCAATACTATATCTACGCAGCGCTCTCTCGCTCTCTCATCACTTGTCTCTCTCTTTCTGTGCAATGCTTTGTGGAGAGAGTGAGAGGGAGTAGAGTGTAGTGAAGAGTGCCGTACAGACGGTACAGTAGGGTTGACTAAAATGACGTACCTTACAATTGATGCCTATCAGGTAACATGACCAGGGTAATAATGCAAGGTCATTTATTGGCAAAAAAATTAAAGGCGAGACGTGAGAGCATAAAAAGTCTAAAAAGTTTGAAAAATGTGAGGCAGACCCAAATACCCCCATTAATAAATGACCATAAATGTTAATACATGTACAATAACCTAAAAATAGAGTAATAAATACGTAACTTATAAAAGTACCTAACCTGCCGACAACCCTACTATAGAGAGTGTAGGCATGTATGGTATATATGGTGTGTACTGTAGTGTAGAGTGAGTACAGTATTGGGTTTGATGTATAGAAATGTGATTATAATATGATTACATTAAATAGAGTTGTAATCACTTGTAATGAATGTATAATTGATTGCATTTATTGTTAACGAAATATATTTATAACCAATTGATTGAAAGTAACGGCGAATGCATTCAAACCATTGAAACGATTGAAACAAATGTTTACTTAATTTACACTCAAATCCATTCAAAACTCGCATTTCATTTGCATTTATCGTTGAATATATTGAAAATTATTTAATTAATTAATAATGAATTTTGTATTCATTATAACAATTGAAATGTATTTTTGTCGACAAAACAATACATTTGAAGCGAAATCTGATTAAAACAAGAATTTATTGATTACTTGTTGTGATCAACAAAATGATGGACAATAGCGACCAGAGGTTGGTTTTAGCCATTCATCTCTTTGTTTGGCAATTCATTGATTGCTTTCTCTATTGATTTGTGGTTCAGATTGTCTGCCATGACTGACATGAATGGCGAATCCGTTTTGATGTCTAATATGACGGAACTGTTACCCAATTTGCCGAATATGTCGAATATAATGGACGACCAATTGATGCAATTGTTGGACAATCAAAACTATATGGTATTCCCGGCAATAGAGTCGCCCTTTGTTTTCATTTTAATCATTTTGTTTAACTCTTCAGATGACAGACGGATCTCATTTAGTGCCGACTCAGCGAAACGTGACTCCAATGGACTCGCATTCCGTAAACAACGGACAGAACTCTTCAAATTCAATACAGTCTTTGGACAGACATTCAGTTGATTCGTGTAATTATGTGTCCAATCAATACGAACCTCAATACCACTCGTCATCGGATTCGCATCGCTTTAAGTACAGAAGCAGTGGTTTGTCTTCAGTACCCGAAACGGTGACTCATGTCTCCGAAACTGATAATTCAATTTCTGGACAAAATAGTTATGGAAATGTCGGCAATATATCGGTTCCGCAACAGAATTATCCGTTAGTTTAACTCATAATTGATTATTAAATATGTGTTGAATTGAATGTTATGTTGAATCTGCAGAATGACTACAATCAACAACTGGTCTCAAAGTCATAACCACATGATTGTAAATCAGAGTCGAGGACCCAAAGACATGGTGATGAGCGGTTCCGTTCAGCACAACCATATGAATGCTGTGAAGGCGACGCCTCCTTCGGGGTATATTCCTCGACATCGAATCCCAAACTTTGTTCCAAACGTTTCGTCAATGAATCCGTCGACCACTTCAACGCCTGTCAACCAAACACTCAATAATATGGTTATTCATAATAATAATCACAACAACATTAATAACATTCACGTCAATAGAAATCACTCCCAAATGATGAACGAAGGCTTAGTGGCCGCGCATCGGGTCGAGTCGACCGCGGCTTACAAGCGGACAGTAATTGTATTTAAAGTTATTGACCAAATTGTCGACAGTTCTGGAAAAGTACTCAAAGAAGAAATCGTCAAAAACGAGGAGATTATAAGAGATTTAGGAAAAGTCGAGTGGAACGACACATTGTCTTCAACCACTCCATTATCTTCTATAAGCCATGTCTCGCGGTTTGCGTCTAATCCGAGTTCTGGAGCGTTGGCTGACGTAAGTTCTTCGCCTCGGAGTACGTGTTCGTCACTCGAGACGCGACACAATCAGAACAACGAGAGCTTAACTAAAAGCCATTCCGTTCACAATAAGAGCGATATTTTTCATAAAACTCCGGTTCCCGTCACTCCTATCCCTCCCATTCCTCCCATTCGTGTCAATACTAACCATAAGGTTTCTAAAGAAGACAATAGTTTGGCGGCAAATGTTGGCACAAGAAATACATTAATTAATGAGATTAAAGAAGAAAATGTGAAAAGCAGTACAAATATAGTAAACATCGAAAGTGTTGTCGAATTGAAGATCAATGAAAGAGATGAAGAAGAAAGGAGAGAAACGGCGACCGCTCTCTTGTCTTTGACCCAAAGGAGTCTTAACATAGACTGCAATCCAAGCGAACAAACAGTTTCGTCAGACTTTGCTATTAGAGCGGGAAATCGAGTGATGGCTAAGTGGAGGGACAAGAACTTCTATCCGGCCGTCATTTCCAAACATTTGCCTCAAAACAACAAATGGTCGGTTGTTTTCGAAGACAGAGCCACACGAAGTCTGTTTGAAACAGAACTCATCCAATTGACTCATCTAACCCATGGACAGGACGTTATGGTAACCATTTCGGAGGGCTTTTGTGCCAAATCTACCATTAAAAATGTCGTTAACGATACAAATGGCTTATTCTTCGAAGTCGAACACCTGAAAGATGATAAACAAGTTTCACAACTCTATCCATTGAAAGACATTTTCCTGAATGTGGAGCAAAGCGCTAACATTTGGTTGAAGTCAAGCAAACCGGCAGCGAATGGTGCGGTCTTTGCTGACGTAGATTTAGATAATATTGTGAGTGGAAAACGGGTGAGAATTACGGCTAAAGCCGAAAAGCTTATCGAAAAGCCGATTCAACAGTTCAAAAATGGTCGAAGACGTGCCGCCGATGCCGTCTCTGTTGACATCGATTACGTGAACGACGGCGAAGAGGAGGACGACGACGACGACCAGGCATTCAGTTATAAGACTAAGAAGAGGGCAAACATTCGCAACAATAAGAAGAAAGTGGAGTCTCAGGGCATGCTATTCAATAACGAGCACTCGTTGTCGATCTCTCCTCGGGCTGCGAGAGTGCACTCGTCAATACCGGCACAGGAACTGATCAAACTGTTGGGACCGTTGCCTGAGATCGGGTCACTTATTTTCCAAAGTGTTTGCTTTCTATTGACGTGTGGCGACAGAAATAGGAGCGAAGATATGTGTAGCGAACAGTCAAATCCCGAACGATCGACGCCTTTCGATAAGTCATATCTAACCAAACAAATCGAAACCGGAGGCGGAGTAGTGTTCGAGACTTTTGATGACATGAAAGTATGGCACATATGTCTCATCCCATAGTATTGATGCTCTCATTAATTATCTATTTTTTATTTGCTCTAGACTTTGAGTGAAAACCAAGATATGGTTCTCATAGCCGACACTTATCATCGGTCTATTAAATATATACAGTGTTTGGCGGCCGGCATATCGATCGCCAGTCATCTCTGGGTAATCGATTGCTGTCGACAAAACAAATATCTCAAACGAGACAACTATACACTTCCGGCCGGCTTTAGCATCATTACCAATGCATTGCCGTCTGATAAGTAAGTTAACCATACATTGAATGCATTTGTTTTAATAAACTATTTATGCAATCAATACTATAATATATTATATGCTATTAATTTGAATCCAGGAATACATTCAAAAAGAGTTCGACACTATTTCGAGGAACAAAATTCTATTTCGGTTCTCAAACACCAGAAAAGCTTCACAGCCTTTGGGCGCCCGTCTTATCGGCCGCTCAGGCAGTGATCGTTGAGAACAACACCATTTCGGTGACTAATCTTTCGCGTAAGCATTGCGTCAACTGATTGTCATTATATGATTACATGAACTAATGAATGATTGGATTGTTTTATAGGTAAAAGTGTTGATATAATAATAGGAGACTCGACCTGTTCTATAGAATTGGTAAAGAAAGCCAAACAAATGAAAATAGCGGTCATTTCGAGCGAATATATAGTACAATGTCTTATAAATGGTCGTAAGCTGTCATACGATGCGAGTCCTCTCTTCTCCTACACCTATAAAAACAATTTATGACTCGAAGAAAATACCAATCAATCCGAACATAGCTTTCACTCAATGTTTTGATCGATTCATTCACTTATTTATTGTTTTAAAAAAGAATTCATTTATTTATGACAAAACTTGTGATTTTACTCATCCATTGATTGTTTATACGATTCTTTTAGTTTTTAATGCATTCATTCATTACACACTTCACTGTAATATAAAACATTATTTTTATTTTTTTCAAACATCTTTCTGTATAGAGATCTTTAGTTTAGGTTTTGTTTAATTTTCAATTCAATGTCTATTATTATCTTTGAATAAATTACTCATTAATGTTATTAATTCCCAAAACTTTATTCAAATTCATTAAAAGTTATTAAAATTATTGATTCAATACTTGTTCTAATGTTTTCTTTGTTTGCCATTATTTATAATTAGAGTATTGATTCTTAGGTGACAACAACCAGACCATCACACAAAGTTATGGCATTTAACATAGGATCCCTAGTTTAACAAAGTAAGTCTATGGATATACTTTAACATGGGACTAATGTTATCCTATGGGTAATGTTAGTCCTATGGGATAAATTTTCAATGGGTTTTTATGGGATCACAGCTTAATTCCATAACCTGGTTATGCTAAGTCTATTGGACAACGGTAAGTCTACAGGTAATGCTAAGTATATGGGGCAATGGTAAGTCTATGCCAATGTTACGTTTATGGGCAAGTAAAGTATATAGTCAATGATGAGTCTATAAACAATATTAATGCTATGGGTCGAATTGTGGTTAAACCACAGAATCGCGTTTGTGAATTGTTCATTAAATTCCGTCAAAATGCTTACATTAACCCGACTCATGGATTCGTTCTTGCATCGATAAAATTGAACATGTGAGTTTTGTACTGTATATTAAACCCTATATAAAATTAATATGTCTTCATAATATGACATATTATGTATTTTATTTTCAAAATTTTTAAAAGTTGTATCAATTTTAATATTTATAGTTAAATAATTAGAAAAATATTTCTTTTCCGCTGTGTAGAACACATGATCAAACTAGAAACAAATATAGTTGTGGAAATATTTTCATGGCCTAACTCTCTAGCATTGCCAGTGCATCACTCATATGTGTGGCTACTCACTCACCACTGCTCAGCAGTGCTGTAGTATACATCTACATGTATTGCATAAGGCCACGAAAATAATGCGAACAGTTTACTGGAAATGAGACTTAGAAATCTTAGAGAATTCCCGAATATAATTAATTAATTGAAAGTTCGGGAATAACATCCAGTTAGTCTTAGGGTTATAATTAACGTTAGACACTTCTCTCCCCGGTCAAATATATTCCAGGAATATAGTTTTGGCAGGAAAAATATTCTATCTTCTTGAAAACAAGGAAACTAAGATAAAATGTGATCAAACAATGACCAGTTGATGTAAATAAAAAGTTTATTTAAATAGTTTTTTAAACTGAATACATGTATCTTAATATAATTGAACATATTATGCCAAAAGATTTTGTTAAATCTATTTAATTGATTCAATTTAATTTAATTTTTGAGTCATTTTTTGAACAAAACTTAAAAAGGCGCAAAATATTTGGACTTAATTAGCGTTTATGAATACATTAGTTCCCTCGAAGTTTATATCTTCCAGAAAATGCCCATATTTTGGGAGGGAAGATATTGGGAAAATACGAATCTTCACAAAAGTGTCTAACGTTAGTTATAATAGAGTAAAATTATACTAAAAAGTAAGTTTGCTTAAGTTTATTTTCACGAGTATTCGCGATTTTGGCTTATTTTGAGAAATTCACCCCCAAATAGCGCTTTTAAGAAAAAATTAACATAAGAATATTTCTATAGATAGAAGACATTATTTAAAACTTTTATATTTTATTGCATTATCAAATATATTTGATTTTTAATTATACAAAGAGAAGGAAATTTTATTAGAAAGATTCCCTTTTCCTTCCCTTCAATTCATTTTCAATTCCTTTCCTCAGAGAAAAAGAAACAACTCACACAGCGATGCTATAAGTTAACCACTATTCGGGAAATGCATCAAACATTTTAAAATGTTTAATACTATTGTTGGAATACTTTCAATATTGTTATTTTGAAAATTTTGAATGTTTTTTACATGAACTAGTTCTATTTATTATGTCAGATTTTGGATTAGCACTGTCTATAGTATTGGTCGGCAACGTGGTATACCAGGTATACTTAGTGTAGCCACATGCCCACTAAAATATATGAATTAAATATATACATAATAGCTTGATTAAATTGACAATTCACAGACATTTAACATCATAATTAAATATAATTATATTTAACATAGAGGACACAATGTGTCCTGCATATTTTAGGTTTACTTTTAATTGTGAGAAAGGACAAAGTTCAATGTAAATGGGTAAAATGCCAAAAATTTTATATTAAAATTTTATATTTGTTTTTAATTTGCGAAATTAATTATCATTGTGAGCATCATTTAAATTGATATAAATGATGTACAGTAATAACGCTAATCAATATATAAAACGTGCATAACAGTAACTAAATTACTTAATTTTGATAAAACTTTTACCCATTATGTCAGATTTGGGAAATTCCTTCAGATATCGATTCTACTCATCCATACCTTTCCATTGATATATAATATGATGTATTTATTCATAAAATACAAGATTTGATATTAAAATTTTCCCCGATAGAAGTGGTCACTGCGGCCAAACCCGAGGTCGTCTGGCCAAATAAAATATACCACAATACTTTCTACAGAGTGTACTTTCGATTTATAACAATAATTCCCGATTGCACTCTTGGCATTTTTTGAACATTATTATTTTATCATTAATGAAATTGCTTGAAAATAATAAAACAAATCGTATTTGCGCAAAAATATTATTATCTAATACTATTATGTTAAATATTAATAAAATTGTTGATAATCGTAAATATAATCACAAATCTCATTAAAAATGTGTTTTAATAAATAAATTACTATGATTCCTTATTTAAAATGACGTTTGTGTGGATAAACTGAAAGCTAATCACAATAGACAACTAAATGAAAACTATTAGACAACTATTAGGTTGACCTTCATGTGGTGTTACTTGCTTAAACTGACAAACTTTGTCTTTATACCGACCGGTGCGCCACCTATTTATGGCACACTGTGAATTTGAATCTGGTTAATCTAAAAAAACGTTGCCGACCAATAGCCTAATGTCAATTTCATGTGACAATTGATATTAAAATTAATAATATTGTATTTAACATTACATTTAATACTGTATAAATAATAACAGTGTTAAAAAGATAAGGATATAATGCATTTGTATTCTTATACTGTAGTAATGGTAAGAAATCTAATAAAGTCTTTACACAATTTTAAACGAGAGTTTCGTTTTTGCGGTTAAACTTAAAAGGATTTGTTTTTATGAGCGAAACGAGAATTAATTTATTTTTCGACGAAAATTTTTTTATTTATACTCTCATTAAAATGAGTGCTATTTTTATTTCAGTAGAAGAAAACTCGTGTAAAACATTAAATTGAAATACCATTAAAACGAGTGCCCAAACCATAACCGTCTCAACAAATATTATGAGAGAAATTGTGTTTCATTAGTGGAAGAATTCGTCAATATTTGATACAAATAAGGAAATATTCAGTGAAAATGTGTCGAAAAATACAAAAATCGATTCAAACGATTTGATTTCAACATTACAATTGAACGCTAAAACATCTCAACACAATGTTTAATAAATTATGTTTGCCTTATGTATAGTAGAATTACATAATAATGGGAGTATAATATAGTCTCTCTCTCTCTCTCTCTCTCTCTCTCTCTCTCTCTCTCT